CCTTATCTTTAATACAAACACCCGTTGGTTGCCCTGATAATCCAGTCATGAAAAACACCAGTTCGAAAATTCCTCATACAATCATCATACAATCAGGAACCCACATTGTTCTGACTGTCCTTATTGGTTGACTGTGTTTGACTGCAGGGGCTGTAACCAACACCGGTTGGTAGGCGAGATTTCGCTTCGCTAATTTATCATGCACAATGTTTTTTACGTGAGAAAATAGAACCGTCGGACGACGAAACAGCCAGCAAGTGTCAAGCAACATCATACTGGTTCCAAGGCCTAGTGAAGAGTCGTCATGCATCTTTTTTTGGGGGTTCATGAGATATCACGGAAAGATTGGGCATTCAAACCCACCCTTATCTTCCAGGTTTGCTACTCATAGTGTGACATTCATCACTCTAACAGGGTCATGTAAGGAATGACTACATAATATATAAACACCACGGATTTCCTATAAAGTTGAGTAGCCGACTGCAGTTCGTTTGTCACGTTGTCCAGTCGTTGTTCTCAGTCCCTATGGAATGGAGATCTTCCCACCATTCCGATCAAGTCGCTCGGGTAGTCACTGTTGAGGGGACGATTCTGTTCTCAGCTCAAACGTTGAAGGTTTCCATTTTTCTTGAATTATTGCCGGATTACTCATCTGCGCTCAATCAATCGATCGATCCTTTGACTGGCTTGCTGTTTCGTTCCCCGTTGCTCACAGTGCAGCAACCTTAGATAAGGACATAAGGTTGACGGAAACTCGGAGACTGTGCCTACCTGATGAGCCAGCGCCAAGAAGGGCGGTCGTGGGCTGTCGAAGAATCTTCAGCAACCTTATGAGTACTGCATTACTCAGATAAGAACCTTTTCCGATCCCTGTGGGACCCACCCCTGTCATCTCAACAACCACCTGATGCTAAGATGCTGAAACATGCCGATGATGCTGCACTTTGGCCCGTGGATTTCTACCTTGTGCTATTTCGAAATCCGCTGATCAACTTCAACCTTGCTAGTCAATCGCATCTCACTGATGCCAACATCCCCCTACTGGCAGTAAAAGGTCAGTGTTGTCCGTCTTCGCGCACCGATCCATGTCCGTAATGCTCTTGTGAGGGAAGCAGGTGGAACACCGATGTCCCGATTCGACCCAACTTGGAGTTGATGTCGAAACGATAAGGTGATGGCGTCTGTCAGACACAGTTGACATAACAAACCTAAGTTAGAAGTGAGAAGCCTCTCATTTGAGTGACTTCTTGCAGTTGCCATCGTGTTGCATTCGTAAACGATTTATCCATATTTTAAGATCCACTTTAAGGCAACACACAGAGGTTTGCGAACACCTGATTTCGACAGCGTCTGCCCCGCGCATGTGACTATGGGATAAGATCATGAAGTTACCAAAGGGTCTAACACAAGGATGCTATGGGGTTAGTTTTTGTTCAGAATCACGCACTTTCAGGTGACATAGAAAGGACGGAGACAGAGACATGAAGGAATATTAATCAGCCCAGCTGTCTGTGATGCTCGTTGACGTGCGGTTTTGATGGCATCTGATAAATCACCCTGAGTGATTCTACCGGATTGGTCTGGCCGTTGGTATCGATCAGATCAGCTGAGCTTGCAGTGGTCACGCACCAGTCCCTCAGCGGCTTGATACGCGCTCACGAATTCACTCGGACAGGTGGTGAGTCGTGTTACCCACAAAGTTCACTGAACACTGACAGGCAGATTAATAAATCATCATTGATGTTTCGAGGAAAAGCTATCTATCCTGGTATTTAATGTTGAGCACTGGACCACTGCTGAAGTGTATTCTCAACTGCATTGCACTGAGCGTCTGTTTCAAAGCAGTGGTTAGACAATGAGTCAGTGTTTCAGGAACCACGCCACTTTTGGGAGAAAGCGGGTGTAGATTGTTTTTTTTTGCGATTGATGGGTTTCTCTGGGGGTTTGCATTCGGTCTTTGGTTCGGGGAGGTGGGGCTTCTCCATATACTGTTGTGGACGTGGATTTTGCATCAGGATGTAATGGATGACTGAATCAAGATAATTTAATTTATTACTGGAAGCCTAGTTTAAGCAACTATTAAGAGAACCAGCTGCTAACTCAACGGGACTACATAACATCCAATGAACTAACCGTTTTTCGTTGAGACAGATCTGATTGGTTGTTCTTCACTCGCCCTTGACAGATGAGTTGTACTCTTGGTATCACTTTTTTTACAACTTGTACGCGACGGTGATCAATCAGTCAGCCGGTTCGCACGTTTGTTGACTTTTTCTAGTTTGGTCAAGCGCACCAGGTGATCAGGCGGCTATCCCGGGGCTCAGGTAATAAGAAGGCGTTAAGGTGACTGTGGTCCACCCGGATGACCTATCTTGCATCGACTTGGCTGGGCAAACAAAGTTGGACAGACTGAAGCCGAGTGGATAATAGGACACCGAGCCGATCGATTTTACGCCTCAGTTTTATTGGAACTGATGAATGGTTCTTGAGAAGACCGTACCGTGTTTAGAGTCCATCTGGGAAACCAATTCGGTGTCAATAAAACCGACTAAGAATTTCTGACATACAGAGAAGCTACTGACAAAACTATAAGCCATGAACTACATATCCTAAAGGAAACCCGGAAGTTCATCCTAGATAGACATTGTGATAAGAAACTGACGACCGCTTTATGAAAACGGAGAGAAGCATGGTTTTAGATCAGAACGGCCCCTTGACTCGGAACACTTGATAAGCTTTATGTTTAGACCTCCGAGTTGCAATTAAACTTGCACACTAAATGTAATAATACTCGTGCCGTAACTTTTTTCAAAAGTACTGTTCAATTAATTGGTTCGGTGAAACGGAACCTATAAGAGGCACAGGAACTCGTTCTAGAGGCAACTTGATTATTACTGAAAACAACATCTACGACGCCCGGTGTTCCATTGGTAGACGGCTAAATCATAACAATTTTCAATCAGGGTGTATGTGGTCAGATTGGGACTTCTGAGCGGTTCGTTCTTTTCCACGGATCGGTGCAGGAGGTTTTATACTACTGGGAAACTCGGATGGTCTCTACTAATACCAATCGAACATGGACAGAATTATTCGACTGATTAGAACATAGACAGTGTGTTTGAAACTGATGCAAGAGGTACTAGTTATCTAGTTGCGGGCACATATGGTTAGATGGGAAAGGAATTATATTTCCCACGGTGACTAGACAACAGTTGGGATCGGGATAGCTCAGTGGTTATGATGCGAACTTATTGAACCCAACCCCGACATCTCGACAGCTCCTGTCTAGGTTTGGGTGTCCTAACGGCATCTAAGGCTTCGGGCTTCCTTCCGGTGGCAGGGGCAGCTAGGTGCCATAAAGGTGACACACCTGAGCAATGTACTCATTTAGTACTATTAGACAACAGTCAATTGTGTCAAAAAAGAGGGTTTGGAGAAAAAATTAGGCCAGAACAGCGTGACAAAAGGCTTACGGCTAGATGAGCCTGACATTAATCCCCAGCTACCAGTCAGGGCTGCTGAGAGCACTCCTCAGTTCACAAAGTGGCGTGGGATTCTCGTCGAACAGCACATATCCTTGGGGTCCGTACCTAAGACGGGATACTCAGTTGATTACAGTTAGGCTGTTGTAACACGAAATTGGTAGCTAGATTTGAATGAGATCATACAAATTCTGCAAGTTTCAAGTTAGGAATGAAGGAGAAGACGCCAAATCGAAGTAACAGATGTAAGGTGTTCCGGTCTCTAGTAATGAGCCAGAAGCATACAGATGATCTGATTGGTGTGGCCAAGGTGCAACTTGATTACTCGATTGAAGGGTGATAGTCCTCAAGTTTAGTGCTTGTGAACAGTATTCATTTAAACACATGGTTGTATCTTCAACCGAATTTTTGCCAAATTCGGAAAGGATGTTTCCCACCCTGGAGTTATCAAATTCTTCATCCCAGGAGAGTACTTTTCGCATCAAAATGGATTAAATCTCAATTAAAAAAGACCAAACCTCCGAACAATACTGTCATTCTTTAAGCGGCTTAGAGGAAGAATAATTTTAAACGATAAATGGAACTTCATTCTGAGAAGTCGTCAGTCGAGGAACCAGTGAATACATGACCATTTGATGTGTTTTCCTTGGTTGAAGAACGAATGGTGCCATATTCACTCTAAGTGAGAACTGACCGCACAGTTGATCAGCCACTCGTGGCCAAAAGGTTAGGTGGTTAACCTTTGCCTGGCACAAATTCGAAACTCTCTGAGTTTCGTGAGATGCGTACTGCTGGTGAGTTCAATCAAGGATGAAACAGCTGAACATTGCGCTTCGGTTTTTCAGCGTAGAACTCACCAACAACAAGAGGAAATCTCAACTGTAAGTGACCAAAACTCTTCAAACTACCACCAGAGTTGAAAGTGTCAAAAAATATACGCACTCGAAGAAGCTGTGTTTTCTCATGTTCACTTTAAGAAAACTGGTTCGCCACAGTCTAGAGCAACACGCATACGTCAAGAGTTCCTCGTTCTACCTTGCACACCATCTCTATGCGGGTAGTCGAGCAGAGGGATGCGTCACTTGCGCAAGAAACAGTTGTCATAGCACGTAGTCCATCTGACCGCCTTCTTGCTTCACAGACGAAACTGTTGTGAACACCGTTAGGTTGTGGTAAGACTGTGTTTGTAATTTAACCAAAAGCACACCCACCAGTACGCATTCGCTTGACACAAGGTGCACAAAGAAAGCGAAGACTTTGGCTTTCGTCTGTCACTCGGTTGACCAACCAGTAATTTAAGCGCAGGATTTTATCAGTCTCGTTCTATCGTGTGACCGTTTGAAGTGCTTGTGGGTCACGGAATGTCTGAGTACGTCCAGTGGAAGTGACGTTCTGCTAGCCGCAGTCGGAAGTATATCACCGAATCCATCGGGTGTGAATCAGGTACTGCTAGTTAAAGAAGGCCATCATAAACGAGAGATTCAGTCAGATGCAGCCGAGTTTTCCGTGAAAACCAACTTGGAGGATTCAGCATTTAATAAAGTTTATTGCCGGAGCACCATCGAGTGAATGCCTCTCAGAGCCAGGCCATGACGCCGTAGCACATAATAGATGGACATGGACTTTGTAGTAGGAGTATTGATTACTAAATTGCCAGAGTCCATGAGCAAATTTCTTTTCGTCTTTAACAATTGTCCGCCGAGGCAAATGATGCCATGGTCTCCCTGTCGATATTGCAAACACGCCCAACCAAGGAGAATCTGGCGTCTATAATAGAATAGACCTGGAGGAGAAGCAGGCTGAATGAGTGGATGGTCGACAATCGAGATGCTGGTTGTCACTTCCAAAATAATGTAGTACAGTCAGTGTTTAAAGCTGTACTGGTGGTCACAGAGAAAGGGAATAATAACATGTGACTCACCTGAGATAGCTTTCAGTTTGCCTTGTGCAAGACAGATTTTCGCGAACCAAACATTTCACCCTCCGAGAAATATTCCAGAAAAAAGAGAAGGTAAGGGAATTCTGGACATTAGAGTGAATAAGTATTATTCCCATGAGGGAAAGCTCTTTTTGCCTCGGACGCTATGTGCATACGAAAGCTTCCTGCTTTTAGATGATGTTTCGCAGCAGAAGGACAAACAAACCTCCAATGTTGAAAACATACCTGAACAGTACTTACAAGCCTGAAGAAATGCACGTTTGAGGAATCTTAGTCTATGCCTTTAAAACAAGTTAAAAAACATTCATCCCATAAAAAGTTTGTTTGTTTGTTTGTTTGTTTGTTTGTTTGTTTGTTTGTTTGTTTGTTTGTTTGTTTGTTTGTTTGTTTGTTTGTTTGTTTGTTTGTTTGTTTGTTTGTTTGTTTGTTTGTTTGTTTGTTTGTTTGTTTGTTTGTTTGTTTGTTTGTTTGTTTGTTTGTTTGTTTGTTTGTTTGTTTGTTTGTTTGTTTGTTTGTTTGTTTGTTTGTTTGTTTGTTTGTTTGTTTGTTTGTTTGTTTGTTTGTTTGTTTGTTTGTTTGTTTGTTTGTTTGTTTGTTTGTTTGTTTGTTTGTTTGTTTGTTTGTTTGTTTGTTTGTTTGTTTGTTTGTTTGTTTGTTTGTTTGTTTGTTTGTTTGTTTGTTTGTTTGTTTGTTTGTTTGTTTGTTTGTTTGTTTGTTTGTTTGTTTGTTTGTTTGTTTGTTTGTTTGTTTGTTTGTTTGTTTGTTTGTTTGTTTGTTTGTTTGTTTGTTTGTTTGTTTGTTTGTTTGTTTGTTTGTTTGTTTGTTTGTTTGTTTGTTTGTTTGTTTGTTTGTTTGTTTGTTTGTTTGTTTGTTTGTTTGTTTGTTTGTTTGTTTGTTTGTTTGTTTGTTTGTTTGTTTGTTTGTTTGTTTGTTTGTTTGTTTGTTTGTTTGTTTGTTTGTTTGTTTGTTTGTTTGTTTGTTTGTTTGTTTGTTTGTTTGTTTGTTTGTTTGTTTGTTTGTTTGTTTGTTTGTTTGTTTGTTTGTTTGTTTGTTTGTTTGTTTGTTTGTTTGTTTGTTTGTTTGTTTGTTTGTTTGTTTGTTTGTTTGTTTGTTTGTTTGTTTGTTTGTTTGTTTGTTTGTTTGTTTGTTTGTTTGTTTGTTTGTTTGTTTGTTTGTTTGTTTGTTTGTTTGTTTGTTTGTTTGTTTGTTTGTTTGTTTGTTTGTTTGTTTGTTTGTTTGTTTGTTTGTTTGTTTGTTTGTTTGTTTGTTTGTTTGTTTGTTTGTTTGTTTGTTTGTTTGTTTGTTTGTTTGTTTGTTTGTTTGTTTGTTTGTTTGTTTGTTTGTTTGTTTGTTTGTTTGTTTGTTTGTTTGTTTGTTTGTTTGTTTGTTTGTTTGTTTGTTTGTTTGTTTGTTTGTTTGTTTGTTTGTTTGTATGTATGTACGGCTGTCTGTCTGTCCCTCCGTCTATCTCTGAGTCCTCCTAACTAAACGATGTTTATAAGACATTGGTGACTAAATATATGTAACGTTCTTGAGTGCGGCGACTTGTACCGCTGTCGTGAATTTTCAAACGTACATAATTTCGCTTTCAGCAAGGACGGTTTTTGTAAATCACATTGTCCCATAGCACACCACCCTTTCTGTGCCATCCTGTCTTGCTAGCTGCCCAAGATTCAATCTAGCCATAAGTCTTCTTTTAATTTTGCTCATTATTTACTGTTAATTTATTATAGAACCAAGGTCCACCTATCTACACTGTCTGTATATTGTTTGCTGTCCGACTGTGACTACCGAAGTTCGTAGAATTCGGTTTCGCTGCAATTATTACTGACCGTCTGTCGTTGAATTAGATTACAACACGTTACCTGTCAGACAGGGAACCTAGATCAGGCGCTTAGGTTAAGTAACCAATGCCTCGTCCTGAAATCACAGCCTTAGCACAGGATCGTACAGTTCTGTTTGGTGAATATTTCAACATGTTCGCTTCTCCTCGATCCTCTTCGTCTAACAGCACCACCCTTTTTCTCACTAAATATGCTCGGTGCTTTACCAAGTCAAACCTCCGCAAGTAACTTTTGTTCTCGCCTTAGCTCACGAAAGAATCTCCGCTATGATTGAAGTGAAAACTCTTGACTTTCCGAGATCCTCGTAGAGGATTTGAAAAACATCGAGCCGATGAGACTTTGATCCAACTATGATATTCGTTCAAAATGAATGTGCTCGGCAAGCAGATGCAATGCACTAGGCATTTCTCCTTGACTGAACCCATCAGATGGCTTTTATGAAATGCATGTGATACAAACGATCATTTTAACCAGAGTAGCCAGTAGAAGAGTTGGATCATCTTAGACACGTGTGACGAGTTATAGAAATGTTGCAAACAGAAATTTGACGGAACCTTTGGAATAGAAACAGCTGTTTTGGCTCTATGGAGAGGCTAGACACGTGATTAGTAGTACGCTTACTGTTCAGTTGATCAATACGAATCACTTGGGCAGTCTGGTTTAGATTTTTGCCGTGCTTTTTCAAGTAGAGTGGTCTTCACTCACGAAGAGTGAATGCTTTAAGAAATGGAACGGTAATCCCCACCACACGCTTTGCTAACTCGAACTAGTGTGGTTCATGTTATATGAAAATAGTCAGTACAGGTAAATTCGGTTGACGGTGGGCGAAAGCAGAACGGACCCGCAGTGTTGATCAACCTTGCAAGCGATACATTATTAGTTAATTTATTACTGTTGACTTCCTGGTGTTTCGCGTAAATCATATGAAACAAGATTAAACCGGAAAATGGAGTGCGATTATTTTACTCGTTTTCGATAAACAGTTTCCATTGCACGTACCCGGGAAACGCTGGAACCGACAGAATGCATACCATCTTGAGATACCAATCAAATACGAAGCTTCCGCTTGCAGATGAATCGATCGATGCGGTGCACAACGACGTCTATCTGATCATCTGCATGAGCCCCGGCGCACTAGCGGTAGATGATATCAATTCCGGTATTGGGAAGGCCAGAACAGCGCTGACCAACCTTTGAAGTTTGTGGCACCGACTTGACATCAGCTTGACTGTCACCGTTAAGGTGTAAAATACCGTGATCCGGTCTGTTCTACCGTGTGGATCAGAGATGTGGCCGCCGCGCGCGTTAACTCGTCGAAGACTCTGTGTTTGACCGTCGGTGTCTCTGAAGTATTGATCGGGTATGGTTGTAATACAATATCTATGATTTCGGGATACGCCAGTGGTTTTTCGCTAAATTTCACTATTCTTCAATAAATCAGCGGAAATCTGCTGACATCACATCACTCGCGTCTCCTGGTATTCACCACGTAAGAATTGAATGTGTCCTCGCAATGCCATCATGAAAAATTACCGCTAACTTACACAAAAAATTGTCGAAAACCCATTCAACGTCATGAAATTTATCAGTCTACCAGAATAAACGTCGGTGAAATGATGAAGACCATTGGTCAGGAGGGAAACTGCGAAAGAGATGTCGGGTGCAGGAGAAGCTGAACACGTAACCTACCGACTGGTTTACCCAAATTCCAGGTCAAATCGGAGCAGCTGATATTACGTGGCGTTTTTTTCTACCTAGCTGCCTACTCGTTCGTCAGGTCTCTCTGATCGATCGGCGAGTCTGTTTTGTGTAGGCTGGTGAGTCACAGACGGACGGGAATTGGTCATTTTTGGGGCGTTTCGGGAGGTCAATATCCTGGATGTGTGTGGGCTTAAAAAACATGTTCTGGCCTAATTCCTATTCAGTGTATGGGTGCTTGAGCCAATGTGATGGGCTACTGATCAGGCGGCAGTCCGTCTGTTCACCGGACAGACAAACATTCCGTCACCAGACCAAAAAAGAACGCCATCATCGCACGGTTGAGTCACCCGGCGTTGGCCATTGGCCACACTGGATGAATTAACTAAATATCACGCAAGATATGCTCAGTTGTACAATAATTTGGAGTTAAAGGGGCACCCAACTGAATTTCTCGTTTTTGGTATTCTTCACACAAAGTCCACGTTATTTTTCAGTTCGTAGGATATTTGAGATATCGCAGTACATTTTTTGAGGCAACACTACTTATAAGACTCACTGACAGCTCGCGACTGGTTTCGCTCTTCTTGGAGCTAATCACGTAGACTCATTCCCCGAGTTCCTTCTTGTCAGACCAATGTTCTAGTGGAAACTAAACTAATCGTCGAATAGACTTCAGCAACCTTATAATCAAGAGGCCAGTAAGCACGCCGGAACTACCAATATTTAGGCATATTATCAATAAGGCCACTGTCACAAGCACACAAAGTTCAACCGATCGTTTTCACAGACTGTAATTATCCCAGCTGTGTAGAAACCCACTGTTAAGCTCCAAACATGATGAAACGCGTCCCGCTGTATAGTCGCCAAAAAATAAAATCAGACAAAAAATCGACAAGTGCCAGATGATTCGAATATTAAACGAATAGAACCAAAGGTCGATTATCCGGTAGTTAATGCCTCAAAATCAGGACCCTTGGTCTCCCTCACTGATCCTTGGAATTTTTTTGTTGTTGGGAGGAATCCTCGACTCCGATTGAAAACCACAAGTCT